GGGGGGGGGGACAAACCACGGAAGGGAGATGATGGTGTAGGAAGCCACACTGACAGGATCACGGGGTCAAGCTGAAGTCGAACTCAACTGTAATTTCTACATTTGTTTTTATACATATGTTGTTTTTATACATATGTTACCCATATCAAACGAATGCTATTGTAACGACCCCCATTGTTGTCTCATGAATGGATCTTTACACTATTGTTTCAAAGTGAATGAATACTCAAATTTGCAAAACGAGCAAAAAGTTAGTAAAGCAAGCCCCCAAAACAGCTTAAACCATATGTCTGTTTGAGTGAGTACATTGCTCTGATGTGTCTTGTTGTTTGTTGATGATAATCTCCCCAGCCTGGACAGCCCTGAGTAATGGTGGCTCAGTCCTGGATGCTGTGGAGAAAGGCTGTACTGAGTGTGAGGCAGAACAGTGTGACTTCACTGTCGGATATGGAGGAAGGTACGTGATCACTATAAGTTACGTGACAGCCAGTGAAGGCAGAGCCCACCCCTCTCCTTCCACCACCTTTCATATTCCCCCAACCCATTTGACACCTGGGTAGTTCTAAAGTTTAGGAAAGTTGTGTATGTAAAGTGCTGTTCCCAATGACACAACATCCATCCAGGAATGAAACCCATGACCTCATGGTTTTGTATCTGTTACCATAGCCACTCAGACATTCAACACTACTTCAGCATATATGTGTGTAATTGTAAATCTACTGACTCCACACATATCTCAACTATTCACATCATCTGCTGGTACCCACACACACAACACCCGACTAAGCACACAGGGGGGACTTCAGCTACCAAAAGCTCACTTGCAGTACAAAAAGAGGTCGCTTTCTTTTTCTGGTGCAGTCCTCTGGAACTCACTTTCTCCTCATGTCAGAAATGCAAGAACACTCAGTGTCTTTAAGACCACATTTTCTTCACTCAGCAGTTAATATGATTTCTTTGTTTAATTTTCCATTTTGCTTTTAGACATTGATATGTAAATTCAGTTTCATTATCATTTATATCATTTGTCATATATATTTACTATGTTTTCTTAAATTTATTAGCCTGTTTTCGTTTCTTTTATCATAACTACCTTTTGATTGTACTTAAGTTTTTGTATTATTGCCTTTATTACTATGAGTTGTGGCTCTTGGTTTGACAAGTTTGTTTTATTACCACCTTACTGAGTTGCGGCATTATATAGTACTCTTAATTTGATTTGTACTAAGTTGACTTTAATTTGTACTTATAAGTTGACTTATCATTTTGTTATATCTGTTATTTTCTTGTATATTTTATTTATGTATGCCTGCAGGGCACATTGAAAAACGCCTTAGTGGCGATATGTACACCCTGGGTAAACAAATAAAAACAAACAAACAAACAAGATTTTGACTCTCTCTTCCCTCCAGCCCTGATGAACATGGAGAAACAACATTAGATGCTCTCATCATGGATGGGTAAGTATGACAATATCAGTCAGATTGGTTCATCACAGATTCTCGTATTTACTGTGTGTTACAAGCTGGCATGTCGTTTTTCTCCTGGAATAAAAACTTGTAGTTTTTCTCTAGGAAAAAAGATTTTCTTAGAATGTAAAAGTGGTACTTGTATAGAAGTTCTTTGATGCATACCATATATATATCTCCAAAAAAATTTTTGTAATGACTTCTTAACTCAGGACAAGTCTTGATGTTGGAGCGGTCGCTGATTTACGCAGAGTGAAGAATGCCATCTCTGTTGCCCGCAACGTGATGGAGCATACCACTCACACCATGCTCGTGGGGGAGCAAGGTAACAAGGCCGACCAGTTATCATTCATTCTGTTATTGATTGACGCACATGTACATCACTGTCATGTATTGGTAATTTTCATTTTTGTAAAATTATATTTCATTAGCCAGTATACATCATGCGTTATACTTAAGTTATAGATATTGACTTTAATTGTTTATTTTGTTCAATAGAACATGTGAACTAGTTAAGTATAAGTCTGTCAACTACATTGCTGTTAGTAAATGCCTTGGAATACTATATCACTAATCAGGAACCGAAGAAATGTTAATTTTTTTTCATCATTCTACCCTAGCTACAGCCTTTGCAATAGAGATGGGTTTTGCGGAGACTGACCTGCACACACACAGGTCCATTGAACAGTGGATAGCATGGATTAACAAGAAATGTCAGCCTAACTACAGAAAGGTACAGATTTCCCACAATAATTTCTGAGTCAAACCATGAATTTTACCACACCATTTTCTTTGTAATATTTCACAGTCACTTAATGAAAGATTATGGTTTTAGCAGGAACAAAAACTTTAATTTGCCACTTACTCCAGTTTACAAACAGTGGAATAAAAGCTGACATCTTCATCCGGGCAAATGTAGTTATGTACGAACAAAGAGGCTTGTTTGTTACTATAGCAACTGGTAATTAGGGTATCAATTTTCTGGCTGCTTGTTGAAGTGACTTTGTTGTCATCGCCAAATGTTTCCCCTTTAGGCTGTTGTTGGTTTTGAACAACTGAAATAGTGTAGTCATTTTTCTACATGATGTTATGTTTATTGTTATATTCCTGACAGTGTCCATATTTTTCAGAACGTCTCACCAGACCCCAGTAAGTCCTGTGGACCTTACAAGCCTCTCAACACTGATAACTTGAAGGAAATGCCACGCTACAGCCCCCACTCTGATGAATATGACCATGACACTATTGGTATGGGCTTCCTGCTTTTACCGTCTTTTCTTGCTCCACTTCCATTGTAGCACAAGAAAGTCAGTGCTGAGTCACTTTTGAGATAAATTGAATCTTATAGTCTAGACTTTTTCAAAGTTTTTTACGTAGCAAGATGAAATGTTGAGTGCCTAAACATGACCCCTTGTTTGCCCTGTAGGAATGATAGTGATAGGTGCCAATGGGACGGCAGGTGGATCCTCCACCAATGGAGCCCTGCACAAAGTACCTGGGTAAGGTTTATGATAGTCCTTAAAAGCAGTGTTATGTAGACCTTTGGCAATTTTTTACCTCTCACACTTTCTTTACAATTCAACATAATGTTCGAATGAAAGCTCATTTCTGATGAGAGCATCAACATAATCTTAATGTAAGGTGTGTAGGAGTCCTACACAAAAATGGTTTAGCTCAGCTGCTGGCTTTGGTAGAATTTCATAGACTGCTATGTTTGTATGAATTATTGAAGATCTTAAAGTAAATTTCAAAGCTAATGTCTTTCCTTGTCTGCTTGGCAAGGTCTGGGCTGTTCCATGTACACGTGTACTTTGAAGGACTGTATACACTGTAACAAAATGTCTTATTGTTGTCCTATACAGTCGAGTGGGAGATGCTCCCATTGCAGGAGCGGGGGTGTACGTTGACAGTGAAGTTGGAGGGGCAGCAGGGACAGGTGATGGGGACATCACCATGAGATTTCTACCCAGGTAAAACTTCATTGTGTCAGCTACTGATGAAATAGAGTGTCACTCAGAAGCACCACCTTTCAGGTTTTGTATGCATTGCAGGCATTTGTTTTAAAAAAGGAGTTTTCTATCAAGCCCTGTAAAAAAATCAAGGAGGCTAAAAATTAAGTTTTCCCTCCTTGAAATAAATGTACTAATTCTAAGCTCTGTATGATGAGCTTTTCTTCTACAGTGGTGTTCTCTGTTAAATCACATGAATTTGCTTGTAAACTACTAGTTTGGGGTCAGAAATATACCTTGTGCATCTTGCAACATGATTAACTGTTTTTTTTAACAAAGCTGTGTTACCTCTCCACAGTTACCAAGCAGTAGAGTACATGCGTGGTGGGATGGCGCCTGCAAAGGCCTGCCAGCTGGCCCTGAGTAGAATAGGCAAGAAGTACCCAAACTACCACGGTGCTCTGGTGTGTGCCAACATCAAGGGGGAGTATGGTAGGTCCTTCACTCATGTAAACATGGTTTCTGAAGTGTTTCCTCCTTTACAGATGCATTCCTCAAACCTTTGTTTGTACTGCTCATACTGCATGGTATTGCGTTGTCTGAAGCTTTTGTAATTTTTTATGGTACATGTATTCTGATCTCAAGCTACTGCTTCTCCTTCTTACAAGACAGTGGTTGTCACTTGTACTGTAAATGCAGGAACTTTCAGTTTCACAGTGGTTTTATTTCTAAGGTGACCTCTAACCAATATCATAATGCCACGAATATGTGATTTTTACTTCTACTCTACTACAGAATTGTTTCAGCTACGAACTTAAAACACTGGAAAAAACTAATTTTCTCCCCTACCCCAAGATAAAAACTGTGAAATCAAATGCATTTACAGTATCTCTTCAAACATGAATGTTTCCCACCTCCAGGTGCCGCCTGCCACTGGCCTGGGCTGGACAAGTTTCCCTACTCCATTCGGAACCCCACTGTCAAGTCCACCACTGTGGAACTAGTGGACTGCCAACAGTAGTAAGACCATATATATATACAGTGGGTAGCTCCTGCACTGACAATGGTGTGGGCTGGTAACACATGGATTTAACTTTGAACAACTTAGCTTAATGCATACCCTGGAGCTGTGGAGCATAGTTGTGGATTATTGGACTGGAACATTATTGTCAGCTTACTACTTCAGTGAAACATACGATTACAACTAGAACCAGTATACCAGAATGCCATTTTTGAAGCTTATATACATGAGTAAGTAAGTTATATGCAGTGCTGCCCATTTGACCATCTTCAAATGTTTCTTTGAACCTTGACTGACTTCAATGTAGTAGTATACTAGATGCTATGCACTAACATATATCTTAAAGTACATGAATTACTGCAATAGAGCCATGAATGAAAAAGATGCGCAAGCTCACCAGACAGTTTTTTTATTGATTGATGTCTTCTTTAATGGATATTATTGCAGCTGTACAAGCAATAAGACATCATTGGATTATAATACAATATACAAGCACATGTGTATCTAGTATATCAGTGCAATTGTACAAGTCTGCTTGTAGCATTTTATTGGTTTGCTGCAGCATACATGTGTCTATTGAATTATAATGTATATCTGTGGGCCTACAGAACCGAGTAACCTTTTAAGCCAAATCAGGTTTCATGTAGTCAAAAGTATTTTATGCCTATTTCCAATTTGAAGTATTCCCATTATGAATGAACATGTTGATGAGAGATATTACATGTTGTAGATACAAATGTCAATAGGTAGTGAATGTTAGTTAGGCCTGTATAGAATGATGTACTGTATATGTATAACAGATATGAAGTGTGAATGGTTCCAAAGAGAGCTAACATTATACATTGATTGTATAATTTGTAATGGAGGAGAAGTTATATCTATACATGTATTTCAGGATGTGCTGCTAGTAGCAATAATGTCACATTTGTTGCTCATATTCTATGTGCTGTTTTACAGTGCACATATTCCCCTTGGAGCTGTTTCACGTAATACTAAAAGCCCCTTCTTGAAGGATTTTAGACAAGGTAAATAAACTATGGACATCAGAAACAGAAATGTCTTTTTTTTATCTGTGCAATGATTTCTGATATAGAATTTCATTTACTTCAATTTGCATTCACTTTTAATTATGGAGTGGGCCAACATCTGGTTAGTCTTAAATACACCTCAATACTTTTAAAAGGTGTTTCCAAATATGTTCGAGACCTAAAACAGCTTCCTGGTTCGAACTGTCTTTTCCAAAAGTTCTGCTGTCGTTCCCGTACCTCTCACCCATGCACTATTCAGTCTCGTTCCCTGCCTACTCTACTCGCGACTTCCTCTCCATCTCCATGGCGGCCTCCGCGAAATCGTCCTGAAAGAACATGACCTGGTTCGCCTGAAGAACCTTACAGATCAGCTTGGGCGTCGTGGCGAACTTCACGTCCCTTACCGCCATCCCGAAGGACCTTTTCGCAGCGGATGCAACAATATCTTCTTTGCTTTTCCCTTCTGAAACAGCCCTGTTTTCTTCCACTGTCTCAGTTTGTGTAGTTGTGTCATCACCAGGTGGAAGTGTTTGATCAGTTTCGGTTGATTTTATAGCGGTTTGTGTAGAAGGTTGTGCGACGTCGGGAGTTGGTTCGTCTGCGTAAGAGAAGTGAGCTAGCGTCACTCCGTATTGCCACGGTTTGGTGTTCCACTGCAGGAGCCCAGTCTCTTCGTTGATAGCTGCATGGGTGAGAGAAAACGGCGTCACAGTAAGGATGCTAGTTTGAACTGAGGACTGAGAGATTCGGGGATTGTCACATCCACGATGGGGAACAAAAATAAAATCAGTATACGTACTCCCGGTAGTATCCAATAGGCCGCATGGGGTAAAATTGGCCAGCCAATTATTGGCCAGTATCAACTTGATCATTGACTGTCGAAAGATGTCTGAAATCCAATTATATGATTATGAAAAGCAAGACTCATATTGTATGTAATGAGCATAATGTTGATGATACTCACTGTCGCGAGTTGTGAACTCCCCTTTCAAAGATATGTTTTTCGATGGAAGGTTTGTCTAGTTGTATAAGGAATTCGAATGTGAATGTTTCTACTGTAATTGTGCTTAAGTGTATAAGATAGGAAAATAGATTATACTCACTGTCCTGTGAAGGCAGCGGGTTGTGCACCTCCGTCTCGACACTGTGCAGGTTTTTCCTGTTGAAGTACTCCAGAGTGGCGATGTGTGAGGGCAGAGTCTCACTCGGCTTCAGGGTCAGGTCCAGCGGCTTGGTCGGCTGGCTGAGGGCGGGGAATAAACACACTATGAATTTAACATACTGTAGTTTTCTTAGTTCCTCAGCCATATACACATATTTTGTCTCAAGATATTGTTACTCAAGCAACGTACTGGATAGATTTTGAAAACTGTTAGACTTTTCCACTACTTTTCGTCATAAGTTTTTGAAATCTATTCAGTTGCTTGAGTAATTGTTAATTTTTCGTATATCTCATTACCTAGATGTTTAACCTTCATCGACATATATATTTCAATGTATCCCAAAGAAGTGTCCTCAATTGCTGCTTATTCGTATATTATTCGTGAAATGCAATACTATGAATGCCTTTATGATGTGTAAAAGCAAGAGGCTATCTCTACAGTACCTCCTGTAGCGCTTTAACTGCGGGGCCAGCCCGCCCAGGTGGTTACTGGACACCCTCATCTTGTTCTCATTCACCTCCAGAAACATGGCTCCGACCTTCAGCAGGAAATTTTACTCCGCCCCTGTGGAATAAAAGAAAAATGAATAAAGTCGATGTTCCCGTCTTTACCTGCCCTATTTTCACGAAACACCGATCGTTGAGCGACCAAGATCGGATTGTTGTGAACCTTGTGCAAAAGTATGATTAAAAGACAACAAAACGCACAAAACGTAACAAAAATATCCCAAAAGATCGCTCTTTGTCTACGAATTCCGTTGAGCGATCTATAAATGCTTCTTTCTTTGTATTTCCATCCAATATACACAGGAAATCTGTTCTGTGCGACATTCTTGTTGATAAGTTGGACACTAAGGCATTTGTGTAGTCAAACACGTAGACATGTTATGTCCAAACCTTATTGCTTTGATAAGATCAATGTATACACAGTCGCTCTAACAGCAGCTTTAATATAGTCGTGTTAGCTGGCACCAGGTCACTGAGAGGTACTAACAATGTACAATGTGTGTTTTACACAAAACAATGTTTGCTTTAACTAAATCATACGCTTTATCGAAGTGGCATTTACTGTATACACAGTTCGTCCAGTGTACACCGTTACCAGCCGATGTTTTATAGTACAATAACAATCAAAGACTCAGGCCAATAACTCTTGGTAAACTGTTATGCTCATGTGGTATTTGTATTCAAAACTTTGTACGCTGAACTTGAGCATAGGTCTGATTGTTGACAGAATGTTCTACTTTACGATTATTGAGAATGTGAGAGTTTGGCAATGTTTTGCAGCAGAGAATAACGATTTGAGAAAGAGGAATTTTCACACAAACAGATATCCTAGTCAAATCTAGCTAGATCTAAATTATGTCTATATTTTGCATAACAAGACTGTATTTCCTTTGCAAGTCCTATATAGGCGGACGTAGCCCTGCATGCTGCCTTTAAAACAACGTATAGATGTTTGGATTGATTTTTACCCTGATTCAATACTTCAATACACGTGTCTTCTCAGTGTATACTTTTCAAGGGCTCAGAAACACGCATGTATACCATCCAAACTAGAGGCTTAGCAGCTGTTATCGGAGGGTGGACAGTTTCCAGCGGGAACAGGAATGTTATTGCTATCGGATTAAGGACCGGCGGGCAAAGAATCGGGCGATCGCGATCGATACGCCAAAATATTTGTGTAACTAGCTATAGACAAAGTATACTTCGACATTTGTACATGTGTAAAGAGGCAGAAGGTATATCGTAATCTTCAAGCAGATCCTACGCTGGCAAGGCTGTAACATTTGGCGGCCAAGCAGGCCACCATAGGATCTGCTTGGAGATAACTGTATCGTAGGTCTTTGTTGTTTGCAATTGATAACGTAACTTGAGAACTTTGTGTCTTAAAAACTTAAGATAGTTACAGTATGCTCATTCTCCACACTTAAGTTGAGATGAGGGGTGTCGAAATCTCCCAGGGGACAGGTTTTGGAGGAGTCATGCAAGTTCCTTGAAGGCAAATGACAGGGCTTTTCTTCAGTTGGCAGGTCGCCGTGCATTCAGTGTCACCTGGCGTGTCCAGGTCCCATGTTTTACCTGTCCGATGCCGCCGGCACGCGATCGCCCGTTACCTGGTTACCGGGGAGGGGATAGAGTGTCGTCTGCAATACAGGTCGGCCATATATGTACACTCTCCGACTTACTGAAGTATTTTTGGCGTCTTTCAGGTATTTTTATTGGGATTTCCTTTTTTCATCTGGGTGGCCAATGGGAACTGGCTGGCAAATGGATACTGGCTGGCCAATTTGCCAGATTTTGCAGCCACCAAAACAAAAAAAATCTGCTTGGAGGTTACCTCAAACACCTCACACAAACATCTCTAGAATAAAAATTCTGCACAACTTTGGGTCGTAATTCAAACATACTAAATGTAGAATAATCCCCGAATTTCCGCAGAAGAATCCTGAGGACCGTTACTTCATAGAAGCGCCGGAAAGGTGGTTAACGAGATGGGAAATTTATCCACAACTTGACAGAGGATCAAGTAGGAGTGTACGCCGGGGGAAATTGAGTGCAATCACGCTTGCAAAAAGAATCGAAAATGGATGCAGCCTTGAAAGTCCATCGCCTCCAACTTAACTCTTCTCAGACTGTGGGATCAATGTGTGAGGGACATGTGGTCATTACTTGGCGCGTCCAATGGAGGTTATAATCATGGGGGAATACTGTATGCAATGCCACGCTCCACGGCGAACCATTTACAGTTCTAGCATGAAATCTTGGCAGACCCTGCCCTTCAGAATATCGATAATTGCTGTGGAGGAAGGGCTATACATGTAAATGTATTACCGAACGATTCCTTCGCACCATCTACGGTCTATCATAAGTGCCGTTATGTCTGCCTAGCATTCCAATGAGATGCAATCCAATAGTTAAATACACAGTCAGTAGTTTTGTCCTTTTAGAATTGCGTACTCACCAGAGGTGAAATGAAGTTTTGCTGTGTGTTGTCACATTACACAGCGTCCTTTTAAACCAAGGAGGTTATAGGGAGATACTAGTATGCCCTCATTGTTAGAACCCATTCACAGCGTATTTTCCTGGGGTTCATAATGTTTACGTCCGTGGTAGACATGACTACTAAACAATATGATAGTGTGTCCCCTGGGAACTATCATAATCAACCGATACTTATGTCTCGGTATTTAGCCATATTGAAAGCTCCCATAGTTATAGTACCAGCTGTTCATATCTGTATTTAGAAATATCTGTCCGTGAATTCAGGTCGTTGACAATATAATATTAGAACGGTGCCTGTGTGTTCATTCATTTACACCTAAACATACCTGGCAACACGAAGCTTGGGGAACGCCGCCCTCTCGGCATGTGCTATGCAGCCTGGCCTGGGGTGTTATCGGCAGGTTTGAGCATAGGTTCTAGCTAACGTAGCGGTGCTGCTCCTAAATATAAACCCCTTCCCGGTGTTTCGCGGCGGCTCAGAGGGGGTGCCCTGCCGTCTCACCTGGTTCATTGATACTAACGGACCCGGCACGCATATTGTTTTCCTTTCCCCTTTGTGTTGGGTCTCCGTGTCACTTTGGAAGGCGATCTGTGTGAATGCCGTGTTGTTTTGGCAGGTAATCCTAGCTACCCGGGACAGGTGGATCGGCCTTTGTTGCTCAAGCCACCGAAACACGCCTTAGAAACGAGCGCGGCTCCGGCTAGATAATTTAACCGCCCCCAGCGAGGCGGGTTAAGTACGAGGCGATCAAAAATAAAACTCGGGTAAATTGAGACGGGTATCGCCTGGTGCACGGGTCGGGAGCTCTAACCTTAATTCGGTCACGTGTGAAGAAAGGCGACTGGATGAGTGATCGGCTATCAGTTTGGTCACGGCCAATAACGTTACGACCACGTAATGTCCCTCAGGGATGGATGGCTAATAAAATGCATTGGCCTGTTAAAATCTAAACTTATCTTGCCAAGTCAAAATATGAAATTTGGCCTAGATGATTTTCATATACATTTTAGTTAACGATTCAAGTGTGCATACTCATAACAAACCCCACTTGAGGTAAACACAATTTATGTCAGAATAGTTATATAATAGTTATTGTTTTATTCTTAAGATATGCACGCTGTCGTAAGATTTTCTTTTAGATATGTAATGAAACTTTTGCCTGGATAGTATCCGATTTGTAACGCGGCTCCTAGCCTTGCACTTGACTAATGTTTAAGGGCCAGCGAGTGCGGAGCCCCATTACAAATCGGCCAGGCCAGTGAAACTTTCAATTCTCCTTGACACCCAACATTGTTCAATTCGTTGCTCCCATTTCCATTGTATCGAAAACAAGCTGAAACATCTAAAAAGCCACTAATAGGAAAAGGATTAACTAAAGGATGAGGACACAATGTCTGAAGAAGAAACAGTAAGAACGGTTTGTTGATAGTTGTGGAATGTATTCCATTGTTAGGTTAGATATTCCATCAAACTGTTACATAGCAGCACTGGTCAGGCTCCTTAATACTACCGAAAATATAAATAATTCCAACAATACCTGATAAAATCTTGATCTTGTCACTTCTACAAACATAATTATCCATATATATCTAGAAATCTAGGTACACCATTTTGACAAGTTACAATAGCCCTATCCTATATACTACCTGTGTACACTTTTTCATACATGAAACTTGTATACTTCATTCAAGTAAAGGCAGCATATAAATCATCATTTCTGTTATTTTTGTTCATGACATTTGTAACCACTTATTTTGTCGACATTGACTGTTACATTTTATAACACTGATGTCTTAAGTTATGGCATTGCCATGGCAACTAGAAGATGAGCAACTGCTTTTAATCATTCATTCCACAATAAATAGACATTTTTTATGGCAAACAAACATTTTGATTTCACATCCATGGCACAAAAATCAAAACTACGTCTGATTTTTAGGCCTCTTACTCTTCACAAGTCATACGGTACTGACTACTGTACAAGTTACCTGACATAACTATAAACTGTACCACTGTACTGTCAAATAGACTTCTAGGACTTGCACTGTTATATGTGGTTTATGACATGGTGGGTTCATCATAGCCTTAAATAGGACTGAGAATCAACAACTGAAATACAACAGGAGCTGGCGGAAGATGCTTTGTAGACACATGTATAAGATATTAACATTCCTTGATTAAGAAATTGATATTTCAGTTTTATCATAAAATCTAATACTAGTAATGAATGGAAACTGTTAGAATACACTTTGTACCTTAATAATATCACCTGGATCCTGTATGCACTAGGAACAAACCGTTTTAAAATATATATTTTCTGCTACATGACAAGACATGTCAAGTCACACATGTAGATATAGTACTCTGGGATGGCAACACTGATCATTTCTCCATACCAATCAATGAATACATTAACCACGACCTTCATCAACGACTCCCCAAGACTTCTTAAACAATTAAAATTATATCAAAAGAGTTTTGAGAACTATCTCCATGAATAAAGGACGTCATGGATAGTTCCTCCTCATGTATCTAGTTTTGTACGTCCACTTCCAGTTGTGGTGTGTTCTTGTCTGCAGTAGAACCACAGTGAACTGCAGATCTCCTGGCTTCAGGTCCTTCTTAGGGGAGTTTCTCACCGACCTGTTCATGTTGGAGACCTCAAGGTCAAACCACACCGTGTAGGTAAAATTCGGGCACACGTTTGCGAGTTCAAAGGACACCCCCGACTCGTTCTGCCTGTACAGGGCAAACAGGCACCCCTTGTCTAACTCAGACACCTTAGTTTTCCTGCCGAGCACCATGGGATAGTGCAGGTTCCACCGTGGGACCTTGTTAACCTCTGGTGGCTTGAGAGGTTTTTTGAGAGAACAGACGCACAGCTTCACGTTGACGCCTTCGTCGGCGCACTTGGCGTAGTGACCATATTTGGAAACGCGCTCGTAGCCCAGAAGGGTCATGGCGGCGTCCTCATTTCATCGAACTGCACCACGACGGTGAAGATGTCCTCTGATTGGCCAGAGCTGTCACCTGACTGGACGTGGAGGTCAAGGGTCACCACCACCACACCTTCCTGGAATGAATGAGTGAAGGAAAGAATAAATGAATGAATGAACTTTGTTGCTCAACAATCAAACATGGTACAATGTACAGCAGTAAATCGACAATAGTTAATACTAATCTATCCTACAGTTATAACTACAAAACATCATTGATGACAGTATATGATGTGTAATGTGTGGATGATTCGGTCTTGCTTTTGAACAGCTGTACATAGAAACAATTGTTCTGTGTACCAGACAGGGTGGATGGTGGACAGATGGTGAGAAGTTAAGGTCTGAAACATTATTGTTGGGGGTGGGGGTGTGGTGTTGGAGGAGACCAAGGATGAGAAATGAAGCCAAGGGAAATCTGGAAGCCCATTTAAATGTTTTGGTATGGTACTTACTGTACATCGTTTCCATTATTTTGGATAAAGTGGTGGATGCAAATTAGTGGATGCTGAACTGCACAGAATGTTTTAAAGTTGGCAGAAATTAGCCTGGTATCCAAACCTAATTTAGCTGAGTCTCTTTCAAAGGTCTAAATTAGGTTTGGCTCCCAGGCTCGGCAGAAATGCCATTTTGCTCCTGACATGCCTCTGCTTAGTCACTTCATTTACTGCAAAGAGCAGCGCATTTTGAAGTAGGTTCCTTCTATCAGTTCACTTAGTAGTGATCTGTAGTAGAAACTGCCCCCGTCTTTTCTAACTATTAGAAAGGTTAGCATTAACATGAAAGTCACATCATCCCACTCTGGTCCCAAATTCAATCTAGTTTGTTGGGAGGAAAATGAATGGCATTACATGGAGCAGACTATTGGGAGAAGTATCAAAGGTGTTCATCCATTAATCTTCATCAGCCTGCCCAGAGCCAATTCTGGCTAAATTGGACTGCCATAACGATCGTTAAGAGTGCCTTAAGCTAATTAGTCCACCTTGCACAGAAACTCCATAAATCAGAACAGTACTCAGGCTTAAGCCCTGATCCAGTCGACATCCTCTTCTCACAATTTTTCCTAAAAGATTCAATCAGTGATCTCTAATTTTAGTTTTGACTTTGAGAAAATGCAGTAAAAATGCAACATTGAGAATCAAAATGTTTCAGGTGTAGTTATCAAATGTAAATCAACATGCCAGTAATATCTACAGTCTAAACATCCACCCACACACCCACCGACTCATGCATTTATTCCATTTAATACAGTCAAGAAACGTACCATCACACTGTACTATGAACTGCTAGTCTGCATTTTTTTTTACAGGATCCAAGATAGAAGAAATTACTGATGGATATATCGGAGGTAACGCCCAGTCAAATATGGTAAAAAACATGGACAGAAGCTCTGCCTTCATCTGTTTTGTTATGAATTTTTCCCGCTGTCTCAGAAACATCAAAATTCTAATCTAAATTTTGAGCAGATACTAGAGAAGAATACGTGACAAGGATTACAATTGTAAGTTCTTTACAATACAATGTACCAGATGTTGGGACTTAAATACAGGCTAAGGTTCTAGAATAAGGAATAGGGGATGGGATAACCAGTCTCTTCACTACTGGTACATGCAAATGAACAAACATATGGTGCCCCAGTTATTAATTAAATTCATGGCACTAAATGAAGAATGGTGATTCCAACAAGAGGATTAAACTGGATGAACATGAATAGTTAATCTCGTGAAATGGTAAGCATGACTGTAACAGTGTTTGTTCGGTGCATGTAAACTCTAACCACCAGATGGGCTGGGTAATTGGAGGTAAATGACTATCGGGAAATAGCAGCTGTGTGCTTGTTAGAAAAACTCAGTTCCGTATCAGACTGGTTGTGCATTAGTTATGCAGCCCCAAGGGAGCGACATATTGTTTTGCGCTTCTTCATCCATGTGTGTTTTGCAATGCCCAAAATCTTGAATAAAATGCGGCATTTCCATATGATACATCCCCAGTGCTTCTATTTCCGTCTGAGGGACTTGAACTTCCCGAAAGGTCACAAAACAGTATGGGGAAGGAAGTGGAGTCTGTCATCTCTTGGCTTGCTGGATACTGTTTTCAAATTTTGCACATATAGATCTTAATGTTTCTCATGAACCTAAAAGTTCTACCAAGCAGTTTCTGCTGTTTTAAGCATTGCTCTGTTGTTTGGTCACTGACTTAGATAATTCAAGAGTACAGGAGTTTTTCTTGGTACTTGTAAATGGCCAGAAAAATGTAGTTTTTAGGAAAGGCTCACCTCTGCATCCAGATTCAAGAAGTTCTTAAAAAATTGCGATTTCTCTGAACACATCTTTTCAAACTGCTAGTATTAATGTTACAAAAAAATGTAAATCCCATTCGAAATACAGAAGTACCATCTAGTTAGTATTCTGTATTGTGGATTCAGACTGCATCCATCTTGTTTTACGACCATCAAATGACAAATAAGGTTTGATGGAAGCCCTACTAGCCTGAGGGATTAAGTGAAATTATATGGCCTCTTACAGTTTCAAACACTGGTGGAGCACTTATCACAAACGTCATAAATGTCTGCAAAAGTAAAAAATAATAAAGAGCCACATTAGATTACTAGTAAGGATATTTTGCTCTTAATGCAAATGTGAAATACTTCAAATCTAGGAGGTAGCTTGTGTATTCCTGATGGTTTATCTACAACAGCTTAGAATGTGAAGTGAGAAAAGAAAACACACTGACTACACTTCCACAGCATTCAGGACACAAGAAAAATCTGACTGATTCCTCAGGATCAAAATTCACCAGCCAGATTGGAGCTGGCACTACCGGGGCAATTGGTTTGTCCATTTCCCCTGCCTCAGAAGACCTTTTCCACCTGCTTTGTCTCTCCAGATGTCTTATGAACATAAATTACATTCTGCTTTCCCTGCAAGCCACGCTCCCACTTCAAGGACTCTACATATAGCTAAAAGCTTTCTGCTGATGGAGATTTCCTGGGGCTAGTACGCCGTCTGAATGTCAGAGTGCCCCTTGGAGAAGACGTCAGCTCGGAGACTTCAGGGCGCCTGGGATTAACATTCATCCCGCTCAAATCATCTGAAATGTCTTCATGCATGAAACAGAGATTCGGTCCTCGGCAGGCGTCGACTCCACTCTGATATTTCGCGGATGAAGCGGTGTGGAGACATATTGCCTTTGGGTAGTAATAAAGTCAGGATCATCTCTCCCTCAGATATTGATCTGAGTTTACGGCCAGTAATAAAGACCTTCCTTTTCAATAGACGGTGCTTAACTTTCCCCGATTCTCCGGAGAGGGTGCTTGAGTCCCTGAGAAAGGACTTACCTAAACCTACCGGGGAAAGGGTATTGATCAGTCTTGATTGGATGTGCAAATGTTGCGCTATCTGTTTGAAAACAGGAAAGGGTTAGTTTCTGCCCAAATGGAATCGTAACTGAATTTGGGCCCTTCAAAGAGCATCAATTTGTGCCGAATGGAAGGAAATGAATCAATCTTTTACAGCCCACTGATGAGACCAGCCAGTTAAATTCTATTGTTGGCACTAAATTCACTTTCCCACGGAAAGCTGCGTAAGCACCCAGTGTCTTCTTTGATAGCTTTGTCTGGAAGACAGATTACGATAGGGGATTCCAATGGAATGAAAACCATTTAGTTATATGTCTCCATGGAATGTGCAATCAAGTAGAAAAGGCCATATGTGAAGTGCAAAATCATGTGGAAAAGAAATTGTAAACTTGAGGGAAGAGAGAGAAAGCAGTGCTGACGTTGTCTTAAGTATCCAAGAGCAAATGCTGCGCATGGCAGTTCCTTCGAGCCCTACATTCAAAATGTTTTACCCAAGACATCTTCTCTTGCTTGTCTGATGTTAGTGGTCTATTCAAGCTTATCTAATGGCCTTGTTTTGATGCCTCCTAGTTATAGAATGACAGGTACTACTACAGATTCCATTAGTCACTGACGTAAAATTAGTGGCTACTGTTTGAGATGTCTGCAGTTTTCAAATTCTATCCAGTTGCTTGAGTAACTGTTTTGTTCTTCATTTTATTACCAGGATGCCTTACTCTCAAAGTACATGTAGTTGTTTCTAGTCTACACACCTTGTCATGTCGTTCCTTCACGTTGTTGAAGCTGTGAGCCACCAATCTCTGGCAGGAGCCAAACCCTGACACTGCCTGAGGGTTGGCTGCCCCAAACTGCTGCAGGATGTGATTGTTGAGTGTCCCCAGCGCAAACTCAGCAAACAGCGTGTGGTAGGAGTCATTCCGCATGGGAGAGTCATACCCCTCGCAGATACACAAGTTGGGCAGGATACGAGGTACCTGGGAACATGTCCTGTTAGGTGGGATCTCACTCAGCAGACCGTTTTGGTTCGACATGTAGAGAGAGCGATGAGAAGGCTTCATGGACTGTTCCTTTTTTGGCAGCAAGGATTTAATGGTATAGTGGACATCCAGCAAACTGACCAGTCTGTGCTGGTTCAAGGTTAAGGCCTTCATCTTCTTGTGTCCGAGCATCTTGGCAACCTTGTCAGGCACGATCATGAAGAGGGCTGGGTGGTACAGCTCGATCTGGCCCTCATACGTCTCCTTCAAAAAGTCTCCGTAGGAGTTTCCGTGGTCGGCAAAGATGATGGTTAACGTGTTCTGTTGACCTGCAACAAAACGGACGTACTCTGAAAATGCCTGGTCTAGAGTCTGTACCCTCAGGCCTGAGTCTTCGTGTGCGGTGTTCAGCATTAAGTAGCTGAGCAGGGGCCTGTCCAGCTGTGACATCTTGGCTTGCATCTGCCTGAGGTAAGTGAGGAGATATTCGTGTTGGTACCTGCCATTGAAGCAGATGGCAGGAGGTCCGTGGAACATGTCGGGCAGGTGGTTTTCCTTCAGTATGTCACAGCTGGTCAGCGTTGCGTCCAACCGGTCTATGCCGGCTTTCTGCACGGCCTCTCTGAACGATCGCCACCGAAGCCTGTACCTCTCCCCAAACTGTATCATGGCGAGGTTCTTTACTAGCCCCCACTCCCACGTCCAACACAGGTCCTCCAGCCAGAGGGTTTCATACCCTTGCCTCTTGAATGGCATGAACATCTTCTCTACCTCCAGCGGCTTGGGAGGCATGTCCTGAGAGCTGAAACCCTTGTCAGGCTCAAAAATCTCCCCGGCAAAAAGAGCCTGTACTGATTCAAACGTCCTACTCCTGATGGCTTGTACAAGCTCAAAGTCAAGAACTTTTGCAGTGGATTTCCTTCCACTATTCAAGCTATGAAACTCTGACAGTGTCTGCGGTAATGATCTGTAGAAGTGGTGCCTTGACAGAGAGTCTAACAGAATGATGTTTACATTTATCTTGTTGCTCCCATTCACAGGTTTCTCCGTCGGTTTCATCTGAGGAGGGAGAATGATCAGCTGCATTATATACCTCTGCTCATCGTCATAGTAGTCATATTCTTCTTTGTCATCTTCATCATTGTAACGTTCATCTTCATAGTTGTCATCATCTAGATCACCTCCTTCATAGAAGTCATTGCCAAAGTTCCCATCCTCTGCCCCCGGCTCCTCATCTTGCTCAGTATTTTGGTTCAGACCTTTATCTGTGTCCACTACATTGTTGTTCAGACTGTCATCTTGGAGAAGTCTTCTGTTATGGTTCTGAGCATTGACAGATATTCTTGTGTTCTGCCCCAACACACTATCAACACTATTGTTCTTCAAAGTCCTAGATGGTACTACAAATGCAGTCCCTTTACCCTGTTTAGAAAACAAAGTTCTCCTAGTGTCTCTATACGTATCATCACTAAAGCTATGGTTTGAAGTAGATTTTGGGTGTTGGGGTTGAATGTGTGTGTTGTGCAACAGTTTTCTTCTTCGGTATCTATGGAAGGGTCGGCAGCGTATGTAGCAGAAGCCATAGTGGTACTGGCTGTAGTCGGCAGTGGCCAGGCGCCGGATGGCCAGCTGTAACCGGTCTACAGTGGAAAACTCCTGCCAGTCCAGTATGCCCAGGTTAGGGTGGATGGTGCCCAGAGCCATGGAAGACTTGCACATATTTGGGTCGCAGCGTACTTTGTACTTATCCGAGCCTTGGGTTTCCTGAGGTAAAAACAAACAAGAAGTATGAAAAACAAAACAATCAAAATTCACAAAAACAACTTCTCAGTAAGAAGGTTTACCAGAAAATGGAATGAGGAGCATTTAACAACAGCTTAAACAATTTCAGCACCAAGGACAGGGAATATGTGCTCTGTTAATGCTGTGTAAATCTTTTCCTACAAAATATTGAACATAATTGTGCATAAAAACATGGTAATATCTTGCACACCACAAAGTAAAAACTATACACGATGTGTATCAGATGTGGTTTCCACTGCGTCACATAGTCGTATATTTCTGTAACATTCCCTGCCACCACTCAAGGGACAGTAGCAGTTCCTATGTCATTCGAAACATCCAGTGGTAGAGTTTGAATTGTCTTTGAATATTTCTGAAAGCTGTTCACTTCTTTCTTCATACAAACTTGAGACAATCCCCACCTGTAGTTGGCAGATGTCTCGAGCCTCTCCCCACGACTCGCAGGTCTCCACATCCTTCCCCTCAAACATCTCCCTCCCCAGCTTACACGACCCTTTAATGGGGGTGATCCTCCGGCAGGTCATGTCCCCACCCCCCGGGGGGTCTGGCTTCCTCCCCGGGGTCAGGCTGAACGACGGACAGACGTCATCATCTGCCTACAGGGGGAGGAAGTTTGATAATGATTGAGAACGGCTAATTTTGCTACCATGGAAACTTGCTGCCCAATGTGCCTGTAGGCACAGGAGGACCTATAAGGTCTAAGGTATGCTAATCTCGTTATCTTCTGCTAAATTGATGTAGTGTCCCTGGAGGCTCCTGTAATGATGGAGGGTAGATGAAAGTAAATTGGATTAATGTAGTAATTTCCCTATGGGACGTACTGCTAATTGCACCTCATTATAAATCATGAAGGAAGGAGATTTTCCACTAGGCTGAAGCCTTGTGAGGTGTCTTATTACACTTGACTGGTCACACTTTACTAGTCTTCTTCTTCTGGCTTAAGTGGAATGTAAGGGTTGCTATATATATATATATATATATATGGGTTGTGATTAACATTCGTACAAGGTTGCCTGAGAAAAAAACAGACTGCAGTGTCATCCTGTACAAATGTATATGCAAGCTTTCTGTTTCTTGACTGTCAATGTACAAATTGTAACATCGCAAAGATTTTGATATTAATTAATGAGACACTTTTCTCAAAATGAACATTTGTCAAAAGAATGGTGCAAGAATGCAGGGAGCTGAACGGAAATTGATGGTGGGAATCAAGAAAAGAAATTTCATCATCATCCCCACCTTAAACTTTGAAAATGACTGCCCGTGAAAAACACCCCGCAGTGCATTGCCATTACCTGCTGCATATACATTTTCACTGAAAAGGCCTGCTAGCAATAATATCCCATTTTCCCAGCATAAATGAGATATTCAGGAGTGCAATGGACTGTACTGAACGGCACCTGTGACCTCTATATACCTCTCCTGCTTAGCCCAAGGAGCAATATATTTGCCAAAACTGAGCTGCCAAGGAATAAAATATTTAATCAGCACTATAACTCACAGCTGGGCAAGAACAGAGGTGTGAACGTTGGGCAGAAATGGCCAGAATATTGTAGAACAAAATGACAATCAGCAACAGTGAGTAAAAAAAAGGAACAATTTTGTGACCACTTTTGCTTCTAAAACAAGTAAATTCTTTTTTTTTTGGTTTAGGTACATGTGTCTACTAGTACAGAAAATGGACAAATAATGGAAGAAGTGTACTAAGAATAGGGATTATCTTCCTGCTAATGTACCTACTAGTAACTTGACTTTCTTAAAAAATATTAACCTACATGAAAACTAATAAAAGTTTGGTAAATGGAAATCCAGACTATTACATGTTAAATACTTGATATATGATGTTTGTGCCGTGAGCTGTTGTGAAGTGTCTGCCCTTAGGTCCCCCTGATGTTAGACTCCAGATAAATCAGGCCCATGCCTTGATATGCCACACAACACCTGCGACTTCTAGGCAATAAAGCCAAGGGGAATCCACTCCTTCAAAACTGCTGCAGACAGCAGTGCTGTTATTACTGGTTTTGACAGACTGTCCAATTCTTAACTTCTCTCGTGTCCTGAACTGAACTTCTCTCATGTCCTATCACATCAAAGATCTTTTGGGAGAATCTTCTGATAAAGTTGCTTTCTACGAAGAATATGGGATTTAAACCCTCTGAACACTGGATAAAATTTTGTAGAATTCAAAGACACAAAGATGTATTTTTAGATCCCTTAAACATAAAAAAGAATATTTTCTGTAGGATTGCAAAGGAAAACGCCTTTTGATTGTAACATTATGATTAAAATTCATTTCGAGTACGACAACTTAAAATTGGAATTTCACAACCATATATTGAACCGTAGCCACCTGAAGTGAGATATAACTGTTCCTGGCATGCATAATTCCATCTAGCAATCAGAAAAGTCATAACATTTCCCACTGACACCTGACCCCTGCTGATAGTAATGTTATAACACCTATCCAGGAAACGCACTTCAATTTTCCTGTTGCTGGTACGACATCAGCAGGCCGTGTTATTATCCCCGCTTGTTGAACTCTGCAGACGCTCTTTTCCATCATTCCGGTCCGGAGGTGCAGATGTCATCAAGAGCCAGACTCCCATCTGCCACCCCTCACTAACACATCACTCAATCGCGATCGGGTGACACCTTCCATCAATCAATTCAGCATTGCAACTCTGTAATATTGATGTACACTTGACTTACATGATTGGAATTCCTTCTGAAAGTATCATGTTTTAATGTTATAAAATAGACAAAGTAATATAATAATAATGAAGCAAAGAAGAGGACTATTGGACCCCTGGCTGGACATATTTGCTGAACTTAAAGCCAAAGGTTTAACTTAGAACTAGATATAGGATACCGATAGTGTTGGATATGAAGAACGATTCTGACTAACATGTTGCACTGTTCTTAGACGACAAAAAAAATCACATGGTATTAACCATCCTCCCCTACAACCAGCTAAAAGCTGGACTCTTCTAGATCTGAACAAATAACCATTTCTCTGCAACTTTTCCAAAATCCTTTCAAGAAAGTATTTTACAGAGCCAGGTGAATGTATTTCTGTTCAGTTTCAGCCACTCAACTAATTATCGTATGTAGTACAGTACCACTACCAGCACCAAAAGCCTGGCAAAAGTGAAGTATGACAGCTTTCTCCATCAGTTGGTCTCCAGAAGTGACGAATGTCGTCTAACATGCATCACGGCCGGGGAATGGCTTTATGAATGCCGTTATTGCTCCTTACTAAATGTGCTGCCGGAATATCACCCATCAATTATTCACTCTCCGCAGCTCCGGCCCTGCCCTGATGGTGACAAGTGTGTTCCAGCTAAATGAATTTTCCACTGATGAATTCTGAAGTTGGCGCCGGTATCGCCGGCAGAGTTAGGAACGATACGCCATGGGCGTTATACATCAGAAGTGCATTATACATCACACAGGAAGAGCTGCTGCGCGTACAGCGTTTGCTGGGAAATTTATGCGTCATATCGGGACAATCTCGTGTTACACACTTTCCTACATTAGTTTTGAGATCTCCCCTTGCTCGTGGGCACCAATTTGCAGATGAAGAAAAATCAGATACCGGTATGTCTGCGTCTCTCTCGGGTCTGCACAGCGCTTGACGTGCCAAGTGCACGTCTAATTGCCTTCCCTTAACACAATTTCTAAGGATGAATTCAGTCGGCGAGAGGAAATGAGATTAACTGTAAATTATCAGATGGACTCTAAATCCAGATTTAATGAAATTTCCCTTCAACTTGAGAAGGAGATAAGATCAGCAATCTGATTCCTGCGCGCCTGCATCATTTGTTTAGGATATTGCGGAATCCTGCTGTCTAAGTACTTTGTAGGGAAAGGTGTTACGCTGAGATAATTTGAAAATTATAGCAGCAGAAAAATTAGCTTGTAATCTTCATCAATCAGTCATTTCAGTCAGAATCTCAGATCTTAGACAACTCTTCTAAAGTCAGAGACAAACTTTGGTACGGTAACAAATGCCCCCACTAGTTACAAGGGACATTAAAGCAAAAACAAAATTGGGAAGGCGCAAAAAAAATTACCGAATTTAGCAAAGTTTTTAAATGTCATTTCAAGTCCCTCACTGCTTTACCATGTGTTGCTGTAGTACATGACTCGCTGTACTGTTTGAAAGTTCTTCACTTACCCGGTAAGTGTTTTGGTAGTTGCCAAAAACTGCAAATCAACTAATAGCTTCCGAAAACTTCAGGTTTTCCCACAACTTACATGTACCACACTGTCTTCACTAAGTGTCTTGATAGTTGCCAAAGCCCAATTGCAAATTAGCTTCCAAAAAGCTGTTTCCAACCCTGTATTTTCGAGCCTAATGAAGCCTTAAAAGGCCTAAATGCCCCCTCTCCTGTGATACATTAGGCAGTGTGCTCCTAATGGTCACACGTTGCAGGGGGAGGTGTTCCTGCTCAGTAAATCCTCCTGATAGCCATTACTTAACTCCCCGTAACAAACTTGCGTCAACCGGAGCATTAGGAGCCAATCCCTGCAGAGCTAATGGTAGACTACATGGACCGCTCAGCTTGGGAGACCTGCCCGGAAAATTGAATGGACAATCAGGCCACGAAATGGCTCATCTTTCTGGAAAAAACAAGGCATTTGTAGGAATGGTGGACTAGTGAGTCTGACATGCAAAAAACATGACTTCCTGTATGTTGTCATCATACTAAAACATAGTCTGCTGAAAACTTGAAATACATGTACAGTCAAAACTGTCCAGAAGACCACATAATCATAGGATCAATAAAATCTGGTCTAAAATCTGTAGACAGGTGGTCACTAGTTCTATAAATATATATATATATATATATATATATATATATTATACAGAATTCGTAATGCTTGTATCAATGGGAAAATTTATCAAAGGGGAAGACCAAAAAGTCGGGTGGTCCTTACGTAGAGGCGATCACTTGCACAGATTTGAAAAGTACCAAGGTGAGGATATCTAACAATATGGTATATGCTTAAATCTTTTAAGTCATACACATGTTGGTACAGGCTTGTACAGTTCCAAATAACCTTCAACCGTTCTTGCCATACGAACCGGTAATAACTAGCATCCATGTAGGCGATGCATTTCCCCTGGCAGCCTACACTTTGAGGATAATCATCCCATCCATTCAGCCCAAATCATGCCCTGTCACAGGACAAGGCTGTAATGTGGGTGTTTTATTACCTGCGCACTGTTACAGCTCGATCTACACATCAGAATTACAGGCCTCTATGAGAGATGTGTGATTGTTTGTGTGATGGATGTGAATTGCTGGATGTTAACGTGGAGTGATGGAAAGTTGTACTTTTGGATAAAAGTTGCCTGTAGCTGGGATTTGTCTGTCAGGATATGAATGAACGAGGAGCTTATAAATGAATGTTACACACCAGTCATGGCCATGTGAATATATGTGTGTACAGAATAAGACACGATATACTTGATACAGTTAAATTACATCTAAAGAGATTGGAGGGATATTGCATTACAAGTCTGCTACTTTATCCACAAACTGTACCAGTATTTCTATCCAGGAAAGAACAATAATTTCACAATTTATTG